TAGGGGCGCTCTCCTGTGTGCATTCTCTGATGATTAATAAGGACTGAGCTCTGAGTGAACTTTTTCCCGCACTCAGAGCATGTATAGGGGCGCTCTCCTGTGTGGATCTTCTCATGTTTAAAGAGGGCTGAGCTCTGAGCGAATGTTTGCCCGCACTCACAGCATGTATAGGGGCGCTCTCCTGTGTGCATTCTCTGATGATTAATAAGGACTGAGCTCTGAGTGAACTTTTTCCCGCACTCAGAGCATGTGTAGGGGCGCTCTCCTGTGTGGATCTTCTCATGTTTAAAGAGGGCTGAGCTCTGAGCGAATGTTTGCCCGCACTCACAGCATGTATAGGGGCGCTCTCCTGTGTGCATTCTCTGATGATTAATAAGGACTGAGCTCTGAGTGAACTTTTTCCCACACTCACAGCACTCATACGGTCTGTCTCCTGTGTGGATTCTCTGATGTCTAGTAAGGGTAGAGCTCCGAGTGAAGCTTTTCCCACACTCACTGCACTCATAGGGTCGCTCTCTTGTGTGGCTTGTCTGATGTGTAATAAGGTTTGATTTCTCACTGAACTGTTTCCCGCACTCACAGCATTTGTAGGGTCGCTCTCCCGTGTGGATCCGCTGATGTCTAATGAGGGTGGAAATCAGAGTGAAGTGTTTCCCACACTCAGTGCATGTGTTTTTTCTCTCTTCTGTGGGTATTCTCTGCTGGGCTGTGATTTCCTTGGAGTCCTGGTGAGTCCCCTGACAATTAATGGATTTGCCCACTTTCTCCCTGGGCTGGATTCCCTGCTGCCTCTCTGGCCTGTCCTGACTCTCACAGGTTTTCCCCTTCACATGACGCCTGGACACCTTCCCTTGGGATCCTTGTGACAATCCCCCATGTGCTTCCACTTGCTCAGCAACTTCCTGCTCAGGATTCTGCTCGTTCTCACTCACCATCCCAGCACCTGCTAGGAGAGAGAGAGAAACGTCAGAAACAGGGGTGGAAAAGAAGGAAACAAACTGAAATTAGAGCTGGAGAGACAGGAAAAAACCCTTGGTAGTGAATTCTCCTAAACTTTTCTCCACAGCAGCGAGAAGAGGGGATGTGGAGGCAGAATTGTATCTGTCAGGTAGGGAGCTGCTGCCAGCTGTCAGTGAGGATGGGTAGGAAACCATGAGCGATAGCTGCCCATAGGGTATAAGGTCTCCTGGGGATCCTCCTGAACTCAGAGAGCTCCCAAGGCCTTTTTAGGGAGTCCCAGCTTCTTCCTTCAGGCACGGAGCATTTTTGAACAGGTTTAAGGATCCCTCACCTGTGTAGGCAGCTCTTGGGATCTCTCCTTCCTCAGAGCCCTGGAGATCCAGGACCCACGGCTCCTCCCTTCGTTCTGGTTGGGAGATCACATCAGGTTTGGGAACAGGAAACCCTGCTGAGGGGATAGAAAACAAGGGAGATCAGGGGAGTTCATGGGACATTTCTCACAAAGAAGCGTCTATTGGTTTTAACCCAGCCCATTGTAAAGCAGTAAAACGCTTGGAGCAGCTTCCCAGGTGCTCTAAGGAGCAGGACACTCTGTGTATGAGGCATTTAACTATCCCCATCTCTGCTGGGAACACACACAGCCAGACACTCCCGTGACATTGAGACAGAAAGGTTTAGCAACTAGCAGGCTAAATTACCCAAATTCAACCTTTAAAGTCATATTAGAAAAGTATGTAATTAGGTAATTAGGGCTATTCCTTATAAATAGCTAACGTAGCCATGTCCCATAAATGAGAGCTCTGAAATGCAAACCAGTATTTTGAGAGAATTAGAGGTAATACTAATTCTATGTGTTTACTTATGACTTGTTAGATGTTAACCATGTAAACAGACGGTTCCTGTCTGTCACTATATCTACTGAATCATAGATCAAAAGGGAATATTAACATTTAGATGAAACTTGGGTGTAATAATGTCATTGTCTATATTTCTCTTTGAAGTTTGTAGTAAACTGTCTATGACAGTGGTGGGCAACCTGCAGCTCATCAGGGTAAACTGCTGGAGGGCCGTCAAACAGTTTGTTTACATTTGCATGACAGCTCCCAGTGGCTGCGGTTCACTGTTTCCGGCCAATGGTAACTGCGGGCTGCCGCTTCCCACAGCTCCCATTGGCCGGGAATGGCAAACCGTGGAAACTGGGAGCTGTGGACTGCCATGCAAATGTAAACAAACTGTCTTGTCGTCCACCAGTGATTTACCCTGACAGGCCACATGCGGCCCGCAGGCCACAGGTTGCCCACCGCTGGTCTTTGAACTGCTCAATGGAGAATTACCTTAGGCTGATTAATGCAATTAGTTACCTGTGTATGCATAGGAAATAGGGGGTTTTATTTCAAGCCACAATGCTGCACCCAAGGAATGCGAGCTGTCAAGAGGCGGCCAGAGAGCTATAAAAAGAACTCCTGGGCCCTGATCCTGTTACCTCAGATCTGCTTAAGCTTTGCCAGAGGAAGTTCGAGTCGCAGGGCTGAGGTTCCCTGCTCCAGTCTGGGTCACCCCAATATTGGGCATTGGACTATGACCAATTCCACTAATTCTGAAAGAACTATTTACACCATGCGTCTGACGAAGTGAGTATTCACCCATGAAAGCTTATGCTCCAATACATCTGTTAGTCTATAACAGGGATCTCAAACACGCGGCCCGCGGAGCTCTTCCCTGTGGCCCACCAAGCTCTCCGCGCCCCTCCTGCCGAGTTATTTTATGTGGCAGCTAAACTCCCTGCTTGCTGCTCCCCAATGTTTGGGGCCAGGTCTCTCCCCC